TATGATGCCAGTTTGTCACAAAGTAGAGTTGCCTGAGAAGGAGCCTTACCTGCAGTAGCATCTTGATTGCTTTGATTAACGTGAGAAGACTCACACTGGATATGGACAGTACCTTCTGAAACCAGCATGGATAAAAAAATGTGGCAGAAGGAAGTTCATCTTACCATTTGCTCTCTTAGCCTCCATCTTGCTGGAATTAGTCTGCCTTGTTGCTGCTTCTTTCACTGATGGCAGGACCATTGTTTCCCAGCTGCTGTCCTGGACTAGGACCTTGGAACTTTCTAGGCTTCTAGTGCCAGATCATGACTAGGAGGCACCCAGTCTTATAGAATGAGCAACTACTAGCTTATCAGTTGATCAACTTATCTGCCTTTTCCCTAGGGAAAGACAGTCCTAAAAGCTGAGACACTCAGCCTCAGAATAGCAGGTTCGCAGATCATTGAAGCAATTCTTTGTGTGTTACTATTTTAAAACCTACGTGTGTGTGTGTGTGTGTGTGTGTGTGTGTGTGTGTGTGTAGGAAGGATACACACATACATATACATATGTTTGTATATCCATCCCATTAGTTTTGCTTCATTAGAGAAGCCTAATGCACCCTATATCCTGCTATTTATGAAGTAAAATCCATTTTGTAGAATTCCTATGTGAGGCAATACATTCATTTCTTTAATGAGAAAGTTTATTACATCTTGTCACTTTTCATTTAAGGTTTTCAGGGGATTTTTGGTTTTGTTTGTTTTTCTGCACAGTTACTATGCACAGCCTTGGCTGCAGGGCATTTTTGGTTTTGTTTGTTTTTCTAAACACTGTTTCTATGCTGGGCCCTGGTTGTCCTGGAACTAGCTCTACAGACCAAGTTGGCCTCGAATTCACAAAGATCCTTCTGCCTCTGCCTTCGCCATTTCAGTTTTTTGTTTGTTCTTTAAAACAAAGCCTCCTACTCTATGTCCTAAGCTCACCTCAAATTTGCAATCTTCCTGCTCCAACCTCCCAAATGCTGAAACGATGTGGTGGTTCCAGCGTTCTCATCCCTCTTAACTGCTCTCACAAACATATTGGTGGCAATTATTCGAGGAGGAACATACGGGATTGCCAAGGTCATTCTATTTGACAGGAACCTTTTAAAAATTGGTTATTGTATATTCAGGTAATATTTCCTGGGTAGTAGTTTTCATTTATGAAGTGGCATGATATTAAATAACATCGCTGAAATTTAAATTTTAAAAATTAGTAAAATACAAGTGAAATTGCTCTTGTAAGTTTTAGCATCAATATGACTTAAATTTTACTGGCATATTAGGTCTCCCCTAAGGATAAACTGATAGAAACCAACAGAAAGACTCTCTTCCTAGTTTTGTATAAAGACAGATATAAAATATAAGACCCATAGACATAGTGTCAATACCAATTCACTCTTCTGTTATTGTTGAAGAGCAGGGTCAAATTTTTATATCTTCTGTTAGGACTACAGTATGTTCTTCCTATGTACGTAAGTTCCAGGGTGACTGTCTTTAGAACTATGGCCTTTACAGAGGAATTTGTGCCTAAAGACTTGATAAAAGCAGAGTCCTAGTTCGGTAGGGTTGGTGCTTTAGGAGGGGAATATCATATGATCCTCAGAGGTCAGACTGGCTTTGTGGCCATCAGCAAGCCAGGCAGAGAAGTCTCCTGAGAAACCAACCCTGCGGGCACTTCAGTCTTCAACTTCTAATCTCAATAAGATTCTGACAGTGCAAGAGCAGTAACGTGTTTTACTTTTCCCCTTTTCACTTATGTTTTGTGTTTGAGTATTCAGAGTTAAGAGAGCAAATAAAAGGGAAGCTTGAAAGAACAAGCTTTTCTTTCATTTTTAGGTGGGAAATAAGGGTATCCTGTCTGCTATACTGTGATTTGAACACATCAAAAACTTCTTTAAAAGGTTTGTTTTTAGCTGGGCATAGTATAAAATACCTTTAATCCTAGCACTCAGGAAGCTGAGACAGAAGGATCACTATATTGAGGTTAGACTGGACTGTTTAGTGAGTCTTATCTCAAAAGGACATTAAGTGGATTATTATATTTTCTTACTAAAGGGTTTGGGATATTGGTTAACATTGTCAATCTGAGAGAAACTAGAATCACTGGGGAGACAAACCTTTGGGAATGTCTGAAGGAGAGTTTATAGAGTGCATTCAATGAGACAGGAAGACCAACCATAACTGTGGGAGACACCTACAGAAGTTTCAGGGTTCCCAGAGTGAGTAGAAAGAAGGAAAGTAAGGTCAGCACCAGTCTGTAACTAACTCTCTCTGCTTCCTAACTATGAACAAAGCATGGGCAGCTTTCTCATGTTCCTAACTCCAGAATTTACATGCCATTATGTTTTATGACACCCTCAAACTGTGAGCCAAAGTAAACCCTTCTTCCTATAAGGTGCTCCTGTCAGAGCAATGAGGAAATTAATTAACAGATAATCCAACTCAGTGGCATAGCATTTACATTACTGTACAAAGCTCCACATTGCTTTAAGCTAAAAAATGTCTGATTTTAAAATTTCAAAATATTCATTAAGGATCTATTGGGCTTCTTAGCAAATATTAATAAAATTTATTCAACTGGTTACTTTCTGTGACTAGAAATCCATGTTCTTTCGATGCACAAATTGAATTCCTGTGGGTGTTAGTGTGGTTCTCAGAAATAGAGGGAGGGATCATTGTGGAAGAAGAGGTCTAAAGAGTGTAAGAGTTAGCAGTGTCAATGACTATGAGGAAGCAATGTCTCCTGGATATAGGAGGACAGCTGCACATAAGTCACAGTGGTTGTGACAGCATGCACAAGACTGGTTCATGCTCAAGTCAGACCTAATCATGGCATGATAAGGAGGGACCGGGTGAGAAATCACACCCCTAGCTAAGGAGCTATTAGTGATTGATAGCAACTGGAAGACAGGGAGTCAATTTCTCCTGGTAAGTTGACGATACTCCAGTGGTTACATCCATGAATATATAGGTGACACTAATGGTCTTGATATATTTTTTAAGACACAAAGTAGTGGTTTGTACAGAAGCAGGGTTAGATCTTGGAAGGGTTGGGAGAAGGATGGTAAATATGATCCAAACACATCGTATAAAATTATCAAAGGACTAATAAAATACTAAAAATTAATATTAGAAAAATAAATGTGGCTATGATAGGAGAGAGTTTCATTTAGATGATAGTTTATAAGAGAACATTTAATTATTTTGCTGGAGACTAATGAATCATGCTATAAACCTTATGGAGTTTTATGAAAATATTGTGCATAGAAAACTGAATATTTGTGTTATATTACACTTGTCAGCATTCCAAGGAAGTGAGAATTCAAAATTATTCAAAAAATAATTAAAAATATCAATAGGAAACAGTCATTTTACTACACAATTCACAGTGGAGCATTTAAAATTGCCCTGCAACATTCCAGGAATTCACATATTTTTCTCCGAAGTGTATTAATCAGGGTGTGCATATTTAAAGGAGGCATAAAATTAGAATAACTTCAGTATTCTAAGGAATGGTGACGAGGACCCAGCTCGAGTATTGCAGTGGTCCCCTTGCACATGTCCTGTGCTGTCAAGCTAGCTGTTGTTCTAGGGAATTGAACTTGAGATTCAGTTCCTAACTGTAACTCACTTCCAGACAAGACAGCAGGAGAAGACCAAATAATAAGCTGCAAGTCCTTACTTATAAGGCACTTTAGGGGAACGAGTAGATGATCCTGTGTTCCTATAAAGCAGAATTTTCCACTGTAACACAGAAGACAGTATTTTATGGCTAGAGATGGGTGCAGGGAGATTCTTGGTTCCTCTGAGGTTATAGAAGGATGGGTAGCATCCATGCTAGGCCTCTTTTCTCTTTCTGAACCCATGTCCATACTGGTTGAACTTCAAATCTGCTGGTACAAATCCTGGAAAGAATTATAGTGACTTTTCCTTTCTAGTTGGATCTAATGAAGTTCCGGCTGTGAGAGTCGTTGGGGAGACGTACTGAACAGAACAAGCTAACTACTTGTCCATTGCTGATTTAAATCTCTGGTTCCATTTACAAGACATATTAATAGTATTATTAAGGACCATACATATTGTGTTAGGGGAATGTTGTTTGCTTTTATTAACAACTAGGAGGATCATTTGAAGCTATTGACAAAACGCAACTGTCATAAAACTAGGTAGCACTTGTTTAATTTAAGGAGCGCTATTCCTGCTCTGGTGTAATGTGCCTTGTTTTGATGGCCATAACTAGTGCTCCTGTGGAAAGTACACTCTGGAACTTCAGGAAAAGAAAACACTTTAAGTGCAAGGAGGCATCAAAGCAGCCAATGATACCAGAAAATGTGAACACTGAGTCCGTTACTGAAATAAAGGTAGACTATTAGCAGGTAGCTTTCCCCAAGGTGCAAGTAAGTAACTCTCATTAGTGATAATGGAAGTCTTGAGAGCACTTCCAGGAAGACGATGTGTCTGAGTAATAGACTTGAGGGAGAGAAAGCAGGCAACATGTGCAGTAGTTATGTTGGTGGAAACATAAACAAAGATGACTCAATAGTATACTTTTGGAATTTGACCTACTCTATAGATTTTTATCTCAATTATAAGGCTCATTCTGTAAAATGGAATTGCTAATTGCAAATATCCTCTCTCTTCTTCTACTTCCAAACCCTCTGTATGAAATATCTGTAATATTAGCATGCATAGAATATTTGACTAGTGTGGAAACATTTCACAGAGTCATGAGGATTTGGAAACTGGTTGGCCTATGTTTGAATTTGCCCTATTTTCTTTTATTAGCAGTTAACATTAGATTCAAGTTCATGAAACACTGATACTAATAGCAGTTACCCCAATGGCTCTTTTAGTATTAGGTATGAAAATGCATCAGAAGTACCCTGTACACAGCAAGCATCCTTGAATGTTCATTATCATAGTTAGTGATGGGAGAAGGAAGCTTTAACTTAAGTCAACTAAATGTTTTGAGACAGACCAGAAGTTTATTGACGATTGAGTTGAGTTATCAGTACAAATCATAGCAAATGCATTTTTTCACAACATTGTAGGAATTTCAGAATAAGATTCCAAAGATTAACATTGTATCTCTCCTTTTGATGATGTGCAGAGCTTGCTGACACAGCACAGATTAGCATCAGAACCGTTTAAGATGGTGCTTCCCAGTGTTTGCTTATATGGTTCCCTTGCTTGACAAAAAACACTCTTTCTAGTCAACAAGGCATCGAAACACGTCATTTGTCACTTTTCATCATACATGATAAAAGTTGGGATAATTGATGCCTTTGAACAGGGCATTTGGAATCTGTTTTTATCCAAAGAGAAAGACAGAGCTGTCTTCGTTAATTTGGGAAGTTCAGGTTAATATTACACACTTCAGCATCCATGCTTAGTTTGGAAGATAGATGCCTTGAAAACCGAATTCCTACAATTTGCCTGCACACCTGGGACCAGGGTTATTCTGTATGAAGCCAAAATTGGCCACAGCAATGCTTTCTGGCACAAGAAAATAGTCGCACACACACACACACACACACACACACACACACACTCAACAGCCCAGCCAATTAAGTCACATGCCCAAATCCAATTATTTCCCTAGATGTTTGCATAGAATTACTAGTCAGTTAGTACTGTAGACTACGACAATCACTGGCTAATTCCTTTTTCTTTTCCTTTATGACCAGATTTGATCATATCTTGGTAGCATGCAGACACAGACCTACTGACAGAACCTACTACCAGTGACAATATCAATTTTTTCTACCATTTTCAGAACTTTTTCAACGAATGTCCTGGGCTCAGGTTTCATTCTATGAAGCCCAGACTCTTGCTTTATTAGTTTGACATTTTGTTATGACCTCTGTCAACAGATACGGCCTCTGGTTTAGCTGCTTCTCTTACTTGCAACTAATACTCTTCTGCTGTGCTAAGACAAATTCACTGATTTATGATCTGGGCACACTTGCACTGATCATCCATCTAACATAAAAATATTGTCTTATTCTCTAACATCTCTCTTTTTGCCCAAAACATATATATGGCTCCTGGCATTTCGATTTTTTTATGTCCTAATATGATTAGAGATTTAATATGTCTGCATAAAAATGGCAAAGAATAGCTGTTATGTTCAGAAGGATTGCTACGAACCATTCCTTCGACTTTAAAGGTCATTATGATTTTACAGAACATCTTCACACATGTAATTTGGTCCCCACAACAACCCTGTGAGGTAGGAAGGGACATCATTTGGCAGAGCAAAAAATGGAAAAACTGAGATACATATAGGTATACAAATAGAAATGTGCTTCTATCTTAATGCTGTGGACCTTAGGGTTTAGTGTTAAAACATGAAGAAGAAAATAGAAAACCCTGGGAAATATTCTTTGTTGGCCCACAAAGAGGAATCAACATGAAAGCTTCATGGGATCTTATGTCTTTATTATTTTTGCATTTTCTTTTCTTTTCTTCTCCTGTTTTGCATTTTTTCTATAAAATATCTCATGTCTATTGTAATATTTATTTTCTAGTATATACACTTCAAACATAAAATTCAAGTAAATATAAAGAGCTTTCTAGAATAAAATCTTTGATTTTCTTTTTATGATCAAATATTTTTGTTGAAATGAATAGGCAATTCATGAAGTTAGGTTTGGTTCTCATTCAAACATATTGAAGAAATTATCAAATTATGCTTTATCTCTCTCTACTCCATAATAAGAAGGTAGCATTGTGAAATAAGCAATAAAAATAAGGTTATTTCTAATATAAAAGACACGAGTATCTATCTCCTTTCAATGTCTATTTCGCCCTATTAGTTTCCTAGGTTAGTCTTCTGTGGTTTGTTTATAACTGGTATATTTATATCTATACATTTAGAAAAACATATTTATTGTTATTTCTGACTTCACAACACACACATTGAACATATGCTAAATGAATGAGTGAAAGAATGGATGGACAGATTTTTTTTATTCTATTCCTATTGCTATTTGGGAACAATGTCTTGATATTAAAGAACCCATATTTAATCAATATCCATGAAGTTTCTCCTAGAGCCCAATGGGTTAAATTGGATTCCACAAGATTAGGTGAGTGAGCAGCGGGAGGGCTGAAGGAGGCAGGAACATCCCAGTAGACAGCATATGAGTGCATCTAAGTGAAGGGTGTCAAGGGATGGTGGTTATTACAGCAGAGGGCATGATGGTATACATATGGAATTGGGAGCCTGCGCAGCACCCAGAGTCAGGAGAAGAGGTTGTGAAGAGACCAGGCAATGACATGACACAGGAGCCAAAGTCATTTGAAGGAGCTGCAGAAAGATCCCGGAAGTCAGTTGTTCTGATGGCTTGTCCAGAGGTGAAAGGCCTTTTAAGGAGATGATAGTGGAGCATTCTGCTCAGCCCACCTGATCTTAAAAGGGTCCTGCCCCAATGTAATCAGGTGCATAGGTAAAAAAGGAAATCAGGATTATTTTCTTATATTTCAAAAATACCTGAATTATTAAAATATACATTGAATTAATTCAATATAATATTTAAGATCATGATTAAAATGTGCAGATCTGAGTAATTTCATTCAGAATAATCTATAGAATCATTGTGGAGGCATTTGCAAGACCTCTTTGTAAAATGCATATAACCTTGAACTATTGATTATATTTCTGGTAAATCCTATATTTCACAACATTCTCACAAAACATCATAGGAAATGGTGAATAGAACATTGATTATTAAAGCCAAACCAAAGCAAGCAAAAATTATTGACCATTTAAGAGTAGGGAAATAAATGACTACATTGGGGTAATTGTGATATCTCTGTAATTTTTTGTAGTATTTTGAAAAAAATATCTAGTCACTGAGAGAAAAGAGGCCGAAGCACTTGTGATTGCATATTAAACACAGAAAACCAGGACCTTTTACATTAGATACATATGCATATTATTGTTTCTTCTTTTGGGGTGTTGTGGAATTGCTTTCCATTCTCTCTGGGGGGACATGGCGAAGAATCAAGAGGCTGTTTACACTCATTCCCTCCTCAAAGAGCTCTTACTGCTTCCTCAGAGAAAGTACTCAAACTCCCAAATAGTCATCCAAATTTGTAATGCAAATTTCTAGACATAGCTGAAAAATTATTACAAGTATTTAGAAGCTGCCAGAACCAAAAAGCGGAGTGGCTTTACAATCTATAGATTAAAAGTAGAAAAGTTCCTTAGGTGCCACACTCAATTACGGTCAATGTTTCAAAGCTCTGACAAAGCCTCAGGGAAAGGAGATCAGATCAAGATACTTAAAGTGTGAGAAAATAAAGACATAGACAAAGATACGCAGAAACTTAAGAACTAGAGGCTGATAAGAGATCATCTGAAACTAGAAGGGATGAAAGAGAAAGGAGATAAAGGGCCATTAAAAAGCAATCAGCAGAGAAGTGGCCACCTGAAAGGAAACAAGGACAAGGGAATGCGGTTATGTTGCCTTAATATGCTAAGAGCAGTGGGGAAAGCACCCAAGTACTGAGGATTCCATCACTCCTATGTGTTGTTCAGCTTTGAAAGCATCATAGTTGAATTGGACTGCAATGGTTCATAACAGTCATAACCCCATGCTGTCTAATTGTGCCATCTGTACAATGTATTAGGCTAGAGTAAATTTTTGTGACAACAAGGAAATACTGATTCTATGTTTTTGAAAAAAAAAATGATCCCAGCTAAAACCAGCAAGGTTTTGTTAATAAAAACTTTATCATGATCTGTCTAAAACAGAGCTCTGAACAAGGAAGGCATGGCTGTGGCTCATACCAGACATGCATCTCACATGTAGACCCTTTTTGTAAGACAGGTTGGCACTCTGATTTCAATAACCCAAGTGGGGTATCCAATTCTCTTCACAATTATTACGTTAATGTATATTCATCCTATACACATAACAAAATTACTTAGAGCCAGGATACTATTGCCATCTCAGTTGATACTTAATTTTTAAAATCTGATACTCAGGTCTTTTGCATTTCAATGAAAAGTTTGCATTATAATGGAGCTTCCTGATGTGAAATCTATTCCTTTGAAGGTTGGAAAGTCTTGGATATATAATGTGACATTTTCAAGGTTTTAGTAAAAACAAAATAAAACAAAAGCTCTAGCTGCCTGGGAATTGCTCTGTTAAAGTCTTCAGCTTGCCCACGTGTCTATATACAAGCTTTTCATGGGCTCACTTAGTGTGTAAGGGGACTATGATTGTTTCTATTCAAAAGCTTGATTTCTCTTCAGTGGGTAAAAATTGACTTGAAAATTGGACAATTTTCTGTGTGATTTTTTCTTTAGAAAATAGTGCTAATCAAAAAAGAAGAAGAAAAACAGAATACAAATGCATAATGAGTTTGAAAGAGTTGTGTAATCTAATCTATTTGTTTTATTCTAATTAGCATGTTTTATTTGGAAAAAAACTGTGGCTGGCTTCTCCAGAAACTCTGCAGATAATTCTAAATCTCTCAATGTTTGTTTTAAGCCTACACTACTAATATCAAATTCTAACTTTATTTTAAAAAGAAACTGACATAGAAAACAAGAAGTCATGAACTTACTTGATATGCCTCCACTCCCCTTTTCTCCCTTTTGGCCTTTAGGTCCAGGATATCCTTAGGGGGAAAAACAGCAAAAGAGAAAAGAATTAGTTCAACAGAAAATGCTGATATCTTACTCTGCTTCTCGACTACCTCTTTCTTTTTCTCTTTATTCTCTTTCATTTGGGAGTGCTGGAGATTGTACTCAAGGCCAGTGTATACTAAACCCATGCTATACCACTAAGGCACGGTTTCAAACTCCACAGAACTTGTTTTAAATGGAAATAGGACACCACAAAATAAGACACCAATTTATAACAACTTATAGTTAGTCAAATATAATAACCATTCCATGCTGATAATGATGGCAGCCACTTTTGAAACCCCATTATAATTTTAGTATTATAACATCTACAATTATTTACAAGGGTGTGATATGTCCCCTTTTCACAAAACAGGCAAAACAGAAATGTAGTATAATTTTGCATGTTCGTTTTCATTTTCCTCTCTATCTGACCTTGCCTTTTCCCTCCTCCAACAGCTCAACATCTTCTAACTCATCCCATATCTTTACTATTTCCCATTACAAATTTATTTTATGTCTCCTTATTTATTCCTTTGCAACAGAACATCCGAAAGACTGGATTGTATAAGTCCAGGGACATAATGGAATTCTTATGACTCCATTCCTAAATGTTAATTGGTTCCTTAATTCTGTAGACTAATCACATTTGGCTACAAGAATACCCATCTATTTACATAGGGATGTAGCCCAAGTGTTACATAAGGGTCAGTGATTCAAACTTAGAAGTGAATATGGAAACATTCATCATGGGTCAGACCCCAACATTTTAATTTTTAAAGAATACTCCTCCTTAATAAAGAGTGTTACCACATTTTCAGATTGTTCCAGAAGAAAAATAAAAGATCTAAAAATGTAAATGGGAGAAAAGTAACATTTATGATGGGCATTTATGGTTCATCGTTTCTATTCTTCCCAGAGAAAGAGCCACAATATAAAACTCAGTTTCAACATTTCAGCTTGAATTTCATGCTTTGGAAGGAAAAATAGTTGTGCAACTGCTGCCACTGTTTCTATACAGTGATGTCGATACAGTAAAGCTACAGTTTCTATACAGTGTAACACCAGCATTACACAGAAGAGGATCCCAAGAATACCCTGTGATCTGCCTAACTACCATGGCCCCTTCTCTAGACACCTGGCAACCAGAGATGTATTTCCTGACTCCACAACTTTGCCTTTTCCAGAAGAGCACACAGTTGGAATCTTCAAGTTTAGTATTTTCAGATCAGATTCTTTCAGTTGGCAATTTGCATTTAAGATTTTTCCATATCATTTTGTGGCTTATTGTCTGTTTCTCTTTGTTGCCAATTATGATTCTGCTTTCTGCCTTCTTCACAACTTGTTTATCCATTCATGTACTGAAGTGTGGTAGAGGTTGGGTGAAGAGTTCATAGAGTTTAGGAGGATCACAACTTATCTTGCAACTAAGAATCTATTCTGTAACACTATAGAAATGGAATGCTGGGCACGAGCCAGCCCCCCCAGCACCCCTCCCCAACCCTGACCTGCTGTATGCTAGGACCAGTGCTCAAGAACAGTTTTAAGCTCCTACACTAAGGCTACCCACCCAGAGCAGTGAGTGCCTGCCTACCGGGCAGGCCTCAGGGTCCCCTGTAAGGGAGCCCGGGCACCTTCAGCTCCGGCGCCAGGCTTCGGGTGCGCACCTGGATACCCCCCCCCTTGCTCCATTCATCCATTTGGCCCTGGATCATTGGGCTACCGGCGGCCCTATTTAGTTGCTGAGGAATCCCATCTGGACGGGTGAGTGTGTGCTATCCAGGGGCAGACTGTCCCGAAAGAGAGCACAAACCCCCCTCCCCCAGCTCCTTTTGTAGGGCTGTCTTTCTCTCTCACGATCCAGCCCCCCAGCACCCCTCCCCAACCCTGCCCTGCTGTATGCTAGGACCAGTGCTCAAGAACAGTTTTAAGCTCCTACACTAAGGCTACCCACCCAGAGTGGTGAGTTCCTGCCTACTGGGCAGGCCTCAGGTTCCCCTGTTAGGGAGCCTGGGCACCTTCACCTCCTGCACTCTTCTGGATACCGCCCCCCCCCCTTGCTCCATTCATCCTTTTGGCACTGGAGCATTGGGGTACCGGCGGCCCTATTTAGTTGCTGAGGAATCCCATCAGGACGGGAACGGTCCATGCTTCTACACTGAAGAGATATACCCAGAAAGTCAATCACAGCAAAGACTGGACCAAGACACCAGGCATCTCCTGGCTCCATTAGAAGGAAGAGATGGGAAGGCACCAATGCAAGAATTCCTCTGACAACCTGAAAGGCAACATGACACCACCAGAATCCAGGGATCCCGAAATAAGTAGAATTGTATACCCTACTCGAGAAGAAATAGAAGATATCGACTCAAAAGTGAACTATATGAAAATGATAGAGGACCTTAAACAGGAGGTGAAAAACTGCCATAAACAATTAGAGATTACAAACAAAAAGGTAGAGGAAATGAATAAATCGCTCATAGACAGGCAAGAAAACCAAGAGAAACAAGAAAAAGCAATCAAACAGGTTAGGGAAGCGGTTCAAGACTTGAAGAATGAAATGGAAGCAACGAAGAAAGCACAAACCGAGGGAAGAATGGAGATGGAAAATCTGGGTAGACGAACAGGAACGACAGAGACAAGTACTAACAACAGATTACAAGAGATAGAAGAAAGAATGTCAGACACTGAAGATACCATAGAGAAAATAAACACACTGATCAAAGAAAACAGCAAAACCAACAAATTCTCATCACAAAACATTCAGGAAATCTGGGACACAATAAAAAGACCAAACCTAAGAATAATTGGAGTAGAAGAAGGAGAAGAAGGGCAGCTCAACGGTCCAGAAAATATACTTAATAAAATTATAGAAGAAAACTTTCCCAACCTGAAGAAAGAGATACCTATGAAGGTTCAAGAAGCATACAGAACACCAAATAGGCTGGATCAAAAAAAAAAAAAAACCATCCCCTCACCATATAATAATCAAAACACAAAATATACAGAATAAAGAAAGAATATTAAGAGCCGCAAAGGAAAAAGGCCAAGTTACTTATGAAGGTAAACATATCAGACTTACACCTGACTTCTCTATGGAAACCATGAAAGCAGGTCCTGGATAGATGTACTGCAAAAACTAAGAGATCATGGATGCAAACCCAGACTACTATATCCAGCCAAGCTTTCGATCACTATAAATGGAGAAAACAAAATTTTCCAGGATAAAAACAAATTTAAACAATGCATAGCCACAAATCCAGCCTTCCAGAAAATAATAGAAGAAAAATCACTAACCAAGGAGTCCAACAATGCCCACAATAACTCAGTCATCTAGAGACATTTCACCAGCGCAACTCAAAGAAGGGAAACACACAAACCCTACTACTAAAAAAGTGACCGGAGTTAACAACCACTGGTCATTAATATCACTTAATGTCAATGGGCTCAACTCACCTATAAAAAGGCACAGGCTAAGAGATTGGATACGAAAACAGGATCCAACATTCTGCTGTTTACAAGAAACACACCTCAACCACAAAGACAGGCACCTACTCAGAGTAAAGGGCTGGGAAAAAGCTTATCAAGCAAATGGACCTAAGAAACAAGCAGGTGTGGCCATACTAATTTCTAAAAAGTTGACTTCAAACTTAAATCAATCAGAAGAGATGGAGAGGGACATTTTATACTCATAACAGGTACAATTCATCAGGATGAAGTCTCAATCCTGAATATCTACGCCCCTAATATAAAAGCGCCCACGTATGTAAAAGAAACATTACTAAAACTCAAGGCTGCCATCAAACCACATACACTAATAGTAGGAGACTTCAACACTCCTCTCTCACCAATGGACAGGTCAATCAAACAGAAACCTAATAGAGAAATTAGAGAATTAATGGAGGTAATGTAGCAAATGGACTTAACAGACATCTATAGATTATTCCACCCAAATAGGAGAGAATATACCTTCTTCTCTGCAGCTCATGGAACCTTCTCAAAAATTGACCACATACTCGGTAGCAAAGCTAATTTACACAGTTACAAAAAAATATTAGTAACCACTTGTGTCTTATCAGATCACCATGGATTAAAGTTAGAATTCAACAACAATGCTACCCCCAGAAAGCCTACAAACTCATGGAAACTGAACAGTTAACTACCATACCTGGATTAAGGAAGAAATAAAGAAAGAAATTAAAGTCTTCCTTGAATTCAATGAAAATAAAGAAACAACATACTCGAACTTCTGGGACACTATGAAAGCAGTCCTAAGAGGAAAGTTCATCGCACTAAGTGCCCACTTAAAGAAAACAGAGAAAGCACATATTGGAGACTTAACAGCCCACCTGAAAGCTCTAGAAAAAAAAGAAGCAGACTCACCTAGGAGGAGTAGAAGACTGGAAATAATCAAACTGAGGGCTGAAATCAACAAAATAGAAACACAAAAAGCAATCCCAAGAATCAATGAAACAAAAAGCTGGTTCCTGGAGAAAATCAACAAGATTGATAAACCCCTATCCAAACTAATCAAACGGCAGAGAGAGAGTACGCAAATTAATAAGATCAGAAATGAAAAGAGGGACATAACCACAGACACAGAGGAAATTCTGAGAATCATTAGATCTTATTACAAAAGCCTGTATAACACAAAACTGGAAAATGTAAAAGAAATGGACACTTTTTTAGATAAATACCATATACCAAAATTACACCAGGACCAGGTGTACAATCTAAACAGACCTGTTGGTCGCGAAGGATTAGAAGCTGTTATCAAAAACCTCCCTACCAAAAAAAGCCCAGGACCAGATGGTTTCAATGCGGAATTCTACCAGAACTTCCAAGAAGACCTAATACCTATACTCCTTAATGTATTCCACAATATAGAAACAGAAGGGTCATTATCTAATTCCTTTTATGAAGCTACAGTTACTCTGATACCAAAACCACACAAAGACTCAACCAGGAAAGAGAATTACAGGCCAATCTCACTCATGAACATCGACGCAAAAATCCTCAACAAAATACTGGCAAACCGAATCCAAGAACACATCTGAAAAATTATCCATTATGATCAAGTAGGCTTCATTCCTGAGATGCAGGGCTGGTTCAACATACGAAAATCTATCAATGTAATCCAGCATATAAATAAACTGAAAGAAAAAAACCATATGATCATTTCATTAGATGCTGAAAAAGCATTCGACAAAATTCAACATCCATTTATGTTAAAAGTCTTGGAGAGATTAGGGATACAAGGGTCATACCTAAATATAATAAAAGCTATATACAGCAAACCGACAGCTAACATCAAATTAAACGGAGAGAAACTCAAAGCCATCCCGCTTAACTCAGGAACACGACAAGGCTGTCCACTCTCACCATACCTCTTCAATATAGTACTTGAAGTTCTAGCAATAGCAATAAGACAACATAATGGGATCAAGGGGATTCGAATTGGAAAGGAAGAAGTTAAACTTTCGTTATTCGCAGATGATATGATAGTGTACTTAAGCAACCCCCTAATCTCCACCAAAGAACTTTTACAGCTGTAAAACAGCTTTAGTAATGTGGCAGGATACAAGATCAACTCCAAAAAATCAGTCGCCCTCTTATACACAAAGGATAGGGAAGCAGAGAGTGAAATCAGAGAAGCTTCACCATTCACGATAGCCACAAACAGCATAAAATATCTTCGGGTAAATCTAAACAAGGAAGTGAAAGATCTATTTGACGAGAACTTTAAGGCATTGAAGAAAGAAATTGAAGAGGATACCAAAAAATGGATGGATCTCCCTTGCTCTTGGATTGGGAGGATCAACATAGTAAAAATGGCAATTCTACCTAAGGCAGTTTATAGATTCAATGCAATCCCCATCAAGATCCCATCAAAATTCTTCACAGATCTGGAGAGGACAATAATCAACTTTATATGGAAAAACAAAAAACCCAGGATAGCCAAAACAATCCTATACAATAAAGGATCTTCTGGAGGCATTACCATCCCTGACTTCAAACTCTATTACAGAGCTACAGTAATGAAAACAGTGTGGTACTGGCATAAAAACAGAGAAGTCGACCAATGGAATCGTATAGAAGACCCGGATTTTAACCCACAAACCTATGAACACCTCATTTTTGATAAAGGAGCTAAAAGTATACAATGGAAGAAAGAAAGCATCTTCAACAAATGGTGCTGGCACAACTGGATATCAACCTGTAGAGGAATGAAAATAGACCCACATCTTTCACCGTGCACAAAACTCAAGTCCAAATGGATTAAAGACCTCAATATCAGCCCGAACACACTGAACCTGATAGAAGAGAAAGTGGGAAATACCCTACAACAGATGGGCACAGGAGATCGCTTCCCATGTATAACCCCAGAAGCACAGACATTAAGGGCAACATTGAATAAATGGGACCTACTAAAACTGAGAAGCTTCTGCAAAGCAAAGGACACTGTCACTAAGACACAAAGGCAACCTACTGACTGGGAGAAGATCTTCACCAACCCCGCAACAGACAAAGGTCTGATCTCCAAAATATATAGAGAACTCAAGAAACTAGACTTTAAAATGCTAATTAACCCAATTAAAAAATGGGGCACTGAACTGAACAGAGAATTCTCAACAGAAGAAGTTCAAATGGCCAAAAGACACTTAAGGTCGTGCTCAACTTTCTTAGCAATCAGGGAAATGCAAATCAAAACAACTTTGAGATATCATCTTACACCTGTCAGAATGGCTAAAGCCAAAAACACCAAGTATAGCCTTTGCTGGAGAGGCTGTGGAGGAAGGGGTACCCTCATCCATTGCTGGTGGGAATGCAACATTGTGCAACCACTGTGGAAGTCAGTGTTTCGGTTTCTCAGGAAATTCAAGATCAACCTACTCCTGGACCCAGCAATACCACTCTTGGGAATATACCCAAGAGATGCCCTATCATATGACAAAAGCATTTGTTCAACTATGTTCATAGCAGTATTATTTGTAATAGCCAGAACCTGGAAACAGCCTAGATGCCCTTCAATGGAAGAATGGATGAAGAAAGTATGGAATATCTACACATTAGAGTACTACTCAGCGGTAAAAAACAATGACTTCTCCAATTTTGCATGCAAATGGATGGAAATAGAAAACACTATCCTGAGTGAGGTATCCCAGACCCAAAAAGATGAACATGGGATGTACTCACTCATAATTGGTTTCTAGCCATAAATAAGGGTCACGGAGTCTACAATAGGTGAATCTAAAGAAGCTAAGTAAGAAGGGGAACCCAAGGAAAAACATATAGTTATCCTCTTGGCTAAGGGAAGTAGACAAAATTACCGGGGAGAAAATTGGAATCTTGGGGGTGGGGTGGGATGTGGGTAAGGGGAGATGGGGAGAGAAAAGTTAGAAGGGAAGGAGGGGGGCCTTGGGGAAACAGGAGGATTGGGATAAAGGAAGGTTGGACAGGGGAGCACGGAACCACAATTCTTAGTTAAGGGAGCCACTGTAGGGTTGGCAAGAGACTTGAACCTAGAGTGGCTCCCAGGAGCCCAAGGCAATGTCCCCAGTTAGTTCCTTGGGCAGCTGAGGATAGGGAACCTGAAATGACCCTATCCTATATTAATACTGACGAATATCTTGCATATCATCATAGAACCTTCATCGGGTGATGGATGGAGATAGAGACAGAGACCCACACTGGAGCACTGGACTGAGCTCCCAAGGTCCCAATGAGGTGCAGAAGGAGGGAGAACATGAGCAAAGAAGTCGGGACCACGAGGGGTGCACCCACCCACTGAGACAGTGGAGCTGATCTATTGGGAGCTCACCAAGGCCAGCTGGACTGTGACTGAAAAAGCATGGGATAAAACTGGACTCTCTGAACATGGCGAACAATGAGGGCTGATGAGACGCAAAGGACAATGGCAAGAGGTTTTGATCCTGCTTAATGTGCTGGCTTGGTGGGAGCCTAGCCAGTGGATGTTCACCTTCCTAGATATGGACGGAGTGGGGAGGACCTAGGACTTACCACAGGGAAGAAAACCCTGACTGCTCTTTGGACTGGAGAGGGAGGGGGAAAGGAGTGGGGGGAGGGCGAGAAGGTGGGAGGAGGGGGAGAAGGGTGGGAGGAGGAAGAGGGAAATGGGAGGCTGGGAGGAACTGGAAACTTATTTTTTTTTATTCCTTTTCTCAATAAAAAAAAAAGAAAAAAAAAAGAAATGGAATGCTGTTCACTTCATACAATATGGAACCATAACGCACTCAATGACTCTTGCTAATAATTATAAACTTCTACTGGCTCAATACTTGCATCAAATATTTCCTCAATGTATTTAATGAGAGGTGTATGAAAAATGAATGCCTTCCTTGACATTTTCCTATAAACCTATAAGTGCTAAAATCTATTAAAACTATCTTAACAATATGGACTGTATTCCCTTGGTATTATTATCATTTAAATAGGAAATAATCTTATTCCTTACTGATGTTGTTGTACAAAGAACACAATCCAATATTAGTCTATTAATATAATTAGTTGTAATAACAATTGTTTTCTGTGCAAAAGAGACATTACTGAGCAATATTGATTATTATGCACTAATATGTAAGATAAATCCATTAATTTTGTTATGAATATTATTTTTCAACTGGGACTTACCAAGATTTAGCCAATTGTGGTCAAAAGGCTCTTTATACTGTTCACTTCTTTTTCTTGGTAGTCTTTTGACTCTGCTTACTGTATGGTAGATAACTTTCTTCACAGTGTGCTGCTATGGGGTAAAATGAATAGATGTGTGTGTGTGTGTGTGTGTGTGTGTGTGTGAATTTGTATATATGATCTGTGTACACAACTATTTTATTTTGGGGCATAGGAATTTTACTCTCATGAGTAAAAACTATTTCAATTTATTTTAGACTATAAATTTAACTATTTGAGTACTGCTATTCTATAAGTACAGGTTTTTATGCAAGCATTTTAGAAACACTACCAACGATCCAGTGTTTATTTTCATATTCTATGATAACAACCATAGCTTTACAATACCTGACCTCCCCGCTTTTCCAGGTGACCCTGGGTATCCTCTATTTCCAGGGAAGCCAGCTGGACCCCGATCACCTTTAAGGCCTGGAGCACCTGTATGGTTAATAAGGAAAACAAAAATGCCTAGCAATTAATTTTCAAACATATTTGAGCACCCAATAAACGAAGTAAGTGAATCTCTGAGGAGAGTATGACATTTTCCAACCATCCACACATTCAATTGAAAGATAATGTAATAAATGACATAAATTTGTTGCAATGAGCATGTTACGGTCAATGAAAAGCACATTGTCAGTCAACTAAAAGCACTACATTTTCCATTTTAGCTAGAAAGCTACTATCATCTGTCTATAACTTGTATAAAAAATTTTTGAAGCTTAACATTTTAATATACTTATATGATAGATTTTATTCATGATTTTTAACTTGGTGTATTTTTTCCCATGTAATTTTGACTAGTCAAAATATTTATAGAAAAAAAGAATGCTTATTTAATCTAAAGAGAAAAACTAAAAACAAATCCAAGGTATTTAGGTAAATTGATTAGTCATCCTTTCTAATTGTGTTTAAATCATTCAGTCTATTTTATTTGCAAACATTATGAAGGAAATTTGTTTGCAAAGGATGGAATTTGAATGCATGGCAATAACATTGTTTTTATTGTTAGTTACAGAATTATTTTTTGAGCAAAGAAAGTTCATTTTCTCTCTCCTTTTCTATGTCTTCCATAATCTCCTTGCAAAACATTGCTTTCAAGATTATGACATCCTTAGAGGAAAATAATTAAGCACAATTTTGTGACTCATTAATGTTTCTATATAACTGGAAAAATCATAGCATGCAAATTAATCCAATGTGAAGGTGATTTTCTTATTCTCCTTCACATATAGGTTTATGTGAACAATATATTGCATGTGGTCTCTATGAATGCCCTCAGACTCATAAGAAAGCTCTTGTAGTAACTGTTGCTAAATAATTAAATAATGTACAAAATCAATAATTAGTGCATGGGCTAGAGAGATGACCCAGTAGTTAAAAGCACTGGCTGCTCTTCCAGAGGACACATGTTTGATTCCTGGAACCCATATGGCAACTAACAATTATCTGTAACTCAAGTTCTCTTTTTTTTTTGTTTTTTTTTTTTTTTTTTGGTTTTTTCGAGACAGGGTTTCTCTGTGGTTTTGGAGCAGAGCAGATACCCTTTTCACATCTCAGAAGATACCAGGCATTTACACAGTGCACAGACATATGTGCAACCAAAACATACACATAAAATAATAAAATACTTTAAAATAAACTAACACTCACCATTTAATTTGCCATGTTATTAGGATGCTAGAATGCATTATATTTTCCAACACATGAGATGATTTACAAACACTCACACACAGCTACACCACAGAAAAGATTAAATGGATATTCATCCCTAATTACAAACATGGATACACATCATTCAACCTCATGGTATATGATTAAGTGATTACAGTATGTCCTTACCATTTAAACCCGGAATGCCAGGTGGACCACTTACTCCAGTGAGCCCTCGGTCTCCCTTTTCTCCTCGGGGTCCAGGAGGTCCTTTAAGAAACACAGTATTGACTATAATTATAAAGCATGAGTAAGATTATCATTTATCAAGATAGTTATATGGAAATCCAAATATTTCTATTTGCTGTACATTAATTTAAAATGAATAACGCTGACCTTTCTAAATGGCTAAGTACTCTGATGTTGAGAACTGTAATGGCCTCATCTGAGAAAAATGTCATATCCTCAAATTAAATCACAAAAATACTGTTGTGAGGTTAGTATTTTGCTAGGTTATAATAAAGTGGTAAGAGAGAAAAGGTCATTGTGATAACACAAAATAACATAAATATTGTACATATTAAAACTTAGGTTTGTAATACTCTTGATGGAGATAAATATGCATATGTATATGAATGTGTGTATATGTATGTATGAGTGTGTGGGTGAATGTATGTACATGTCACAACAATTAAAGGAATAGAAGCCATAAATTTGAAAGATAGAAAGTAGGGTACATGGGAAGGGTTGGGTGGAAAAAAATGGAATGGGGGAAATTAATGGAGTATATTTTAACTTTAAAACCTAAAAATCTGCAAAATGAGTGTTGATAAAGTTAGATGATTCCTTTTCTAGGTAGAATGAGTAAACTGTAGACCATGTAGACCAATTACAAGGCTGATACAACACACAAAACTGGAAAATGGTGGAAGTACAATAATTACCTAATACAAACATTCTCCACCCAAAATGCCAGATTAGTGATCTCACAGGCATTACAGAGAGATGAAGAATGAAGTTAAGGGCAACCAAAACCCACAGGAATAATTTCTCCAAAATGCACTGGGACGTCTTATTATCATTTTGCACCACTTACAGTTTTAAACAATTTCCAAACAAAATATTTAAAATTACAAACAAAACCAGATGGCTAGGTGGAATTCAATTATAGAATACCAACACAGCCTGTCCAGGGCCCTAGGCTTTACTCCTAGAACTGAGTGTAAGAAAATGGTATGTGTGTAAGCATGACTGTTATTTTCTTGTGTTTATTTCCTAAGAGAGAATACAGAGCAAATATCACACAGTATTTTTCTTTTATTAGTTATAGTAACTAATTCTGCAGTCATTCAAAATACATACAACAGAGAAAAAATACTGGGCCTCTTCATAAGACAGATGGGCATCTATGGATACTTGGTATTCAGAGGCCAAGTTCCCATGAATTATTATCCTCACAAAATAACCCAAATAATTATGAATGTAAAAATGTGTATGGAGTAAGACAGTGAAAAATCAAGAGCAAACAAAGAAAATGACACCAAGATCATACCATTGATTTTTGATAAATGAACTTCCAAAGCATTATTTTATGAAGAAGGAAGATAACCCAGAAGAGGTGGATGGAATAGTTTTTTAAATAAATAATTAGCTAGCTCGTGGACAAGTCTTAATAAATTATTTTAATATAAAGTAAGATGAGCAAAATAGACTAAACTCTGGTTTATGAAAGTCCATAGCATAGAAATGAACTGTAATCTCATACAGAGGGCACAAGGGAGTGTGTCACGAGTCAAAGCACTTTCAGTTCCCTATACAACTCAGTTTTCTTTAAGATGCTGACTAGCTTTAACGTATATTACATTTCAATTGCAATCAAGACATATGGAATATATCATAAAGTTTCCAAAACCTCTTTGGTAACTTTGATGAAAAGATAAATTCAATAAAAATAATTCACATCAACTATAGAAAAACAAAATAAGAAAATGAGAGAGACATAAATCAAGTTGGAAAAAGAAAAAAAATACACCCCCCCCCCCGAAACAGATGCGGGGAAAAGAAGTTGTCAGGTCTTCAAATTCAAGAATTTTTACAGGAGATAAAGTATAAGCACACAGACCAGAAAGTTAGAACTATAGAAAAATATTCATAAAGTGAAAATAACTAAAATCTATTATGTGGGCATAAATGACTTATGTTTGCTAAAAGATGAGTAAGAGTCATTGGCACAGTAGAAGACACTGATATATCTAAGATTATCTTTAAGAATTCAAGAGGTGTTTCTAAATGACAGTATAGTTAGAAAAGAAGGAAAGAGATTTTTTTGGTGCTTTTATTGTTCTCTCTCTTTGATTTTTTTGAGACAGGCTCTCACTGTGAACCTTAGTCTGGCTTCAAACTTGTGGCCTCCTGCCCCAGCCTTCCCAGTGATGACTCACCACATCTGGTTTTGCATTTCTCTTTAAGAAATTCTAGTGTGTGGGTGACATTACCACACCTGCCCTCATATTAACTGTTCTTCTGTGCATAGTAACTGCATAGTAACTGTCTGTAGTAACTGCATCCTCAAAAATCATTTCCTTTAGAAGACAGGATTTCAAATACCAAAGGTCTGCATTTAAGGATATATTTTAATGTCTCATTTTTGAGACAAGATGTCTCACCTTGAATTAAGGTGATATTTTTCAATGTCTGTGAGTGTTCCCAGTCCTTCAGTCTGAGGTCATTAGTGATGTTATTCAAAACTTTCATTTCCTGTTTTACTTCCTGTTCCACATGTTCTTGTTCTTCTTTCACAGACTGGATTTCTGCTGATGCTTTGCGCACACGTTCCTCTAACTTATTGATGTCCTAAAACACACAATGAGCATTGCAACCTTTGTTACATGCAATTAGGAAATACATAAGTGAACAGAGTTTGGAAATTTGAATGTTGTAAAATCACATAACATTGGGCAAGTGCTATAAGATAAGAATAAGGAAATGAGTATTCAAAATGGCAGCTCTCTGGCTGAATAGCATCTCTTCTTTAAACTAAATGGTTCACTAAGATCCCTAGTCAAAACAAACAAAATCCGTTGCCTATACATCTAAGAATGCTTCTACTCCCAAATAAACAAATGTCAAATATTGAGAATTAAAAATAGCACTTATCATAGGGGTTTTAATTTATTCAAAGTGAAATTTCTTCACAGTTCATTTGGGGTTAAACATTCTTATTTTATGATATTGTTTCATAGCAATAACTGAAGTTTAATGTGATTCTCAGTGATAATGACAGTAAGAACAGAGTTTCATATTTAGTAAGATGTCCAAGTTGCATTTTCATAACATTTTACTCTCAATTTTTATTTTTACTCTTCTCTTGATAATTTTGTATTTTCATCAGTTATAAATAGACGATCTGTAGATGCATACATACATGTACATATACTCAGTGTGTACAGCTCTTTTCTTCTTCATATTTCTTTGAGATATTATCTCATGTACCACTTGGCCTTAAATGTGTTATTTAATTAACTTCAACTCCTGATTCTCTTCTTCTACCTTTTCAGTGCGGAGATTTCAGACATTTACTAGCTATCATACACATATTCAAATGGTGGCTGACCAAGGAACGTGCCAAACAGGACATAGAAAGCACAGGAGCAAATAAGGCTTCAACCCCACACATAGAACTATAGGTGACTGAAAAAATGGGAGCAGGAGCAATGGCCCTCCCCAAGGAAGAGCACACCAATTGGTTGTCCAGAGCCAAATGGTAAGTCTGAAAATATACATGCAGGTAGCATTATACAGAATGAATAGGTTATATTTAGGAACACACACGTACATACATATGCACATATGAATAAAATAACAATTTCTGAAAAAGGGGGTCATGGATTTGAATGAGTTGGGAAATGTATAGGTTCTTGGAAGGAGGGAAGTAAGGGAGTTTTGTAATTAAATTATGATCTCAAAAATAAAATTACAAGAGTCTTTGCTGCTGTAATACTGTTATGTCTGCTTGCTTCTTTTGCAGTGCTGGGCTGAGACAGGGCCCTATGTCTGTTTTGTTATCATTCTTTCACTGAGCGATAATTTATTATCTGGAAAATAGCTTCATCAGGAGTGTGCTTTTGTTGTTGAATCTCAGTTTTTGAGATTGTAATTTAACTGCAATGTCTTCCCCCTCTTTCCTCTCCTGAAGCCCTCCCTGTAAGAGCTCAAATAGGAATAGAAAACAACGCATATTGAATCTTATGGTGATTGTAAGTATACACTGTTATCCTATTAAGAACTCATGGTTAAATATATTTATGTTTTTAAAGTTTAATTTTAGTTACCAGTGCAAAAAAACTTAAGTGTATCTTCTAGAAACAGCAAAATAAATTATCTAAAAATTCTGCTTCATAAGGTATCTATGTAAATAACATGCATATTACTTTGATGTAAAGATAATTAAGTTATTCATAGACTTCACAATACATGTATTTACCTTCCTAGACATGCTCAGGTAATCTAAATCTTATAAGTGGTGTAGTCTAACAAGATAATAAGTGGTATTTATAATATAAAAACAACTTCATATCCTAGATCCATTGGAAAATAATATTCTCTTTTTCTGGGGGTCTGGAAAAGGCCCCAGTTACACCTTTAAAGATCTCTTATTAGATTGTCAGAGGTGTCTACATCAGTAGGTGAAGTAGAAAACTTTTGTTCCTCCTGCTTTCTGAATTGCCTAAGAAAACAGAATCTATATGAATTTTGTTCTAGAATGAACTACGCCATTGTATTCTGAAATGCTTACCTCCTGTTGCTTCACGATAGACTCATTGACTTTGCGGTTCAGTGTTTCTGTATGGAGCTGGACATCAAGCAGTGTGGTATTGAGACTCAGCAAAGATTTGGAAATTTCATCTAGTGAGTTCCCATGTTCCTGGACTGATGAGATCAAGGAACTTAACTGTAGCAGAACATCATTAAGTCTTTGGTCGGTTGCCATACTAAAATTCTGGAAGCGTTCTGTGTCCATGAGGTTGTCTTTTAAGTCTGAAATGCTTTGGATTCTCTCCTCCAAGTCCTTCATGTGTTCCATGATGGCTGGAAATCTCATTTCAGCTTTCCTGGTGTCTTCTTCTCCAATCAGACTTTGAGAAGTATCACTTGTGTTAATTGAACCAACAAAGCAATTCTTCATTCCCCTATTGATAAGCTGAGCTGAATATTTAAACAAAAACAAATCAAATCATAGCATATATCATTTTGTGCTCATCACTACTTTCTATGTCTCTGCACTACATTCCATTACAGTATGTTGAATGCTATCCTAAATCAAGAATGTATTTTTGAAACATAAAGCAAAGAAAACCAGCGTCCAAATCACAGTCTCGGAGAACTTAAATAACAATGAGGACCCTAAGAGAGACATACATAGATCTAATCTACATGGGAAGTAGAAAAAGAAAAGATCTCCTGAGTAAATTGGGAGCATGGGGACCTTGGGAGGTACTTAAAGTACTCTCACTTTCAACAGTGGCTGAGATGGAGTAGACTAAGTATGTAAAACTTATCACTGGCAGCTGATAGCCATGGCAATTCTATTCCATTGAAAAGTGGATTATACATAAAAGAATGTCTTATCAGAATTCTTGCAGCCTTTACTCTCATAGAAAGAAATGTCTGCTAATTGATTATTATTTATATTAACAATAAGTGTTACTGTGTTTTTTATTTAAAAGCACTTTATATTTCTGTGTGAAATTAGCTTATTGATTATAATACTATATCAATGGTATTTTGATATGGTCTACAACAGGAAACACAATTATTGCATGTCAGTCATTCTGAATTTCTTAATCAATAAATTAGACATACAACCCAGTTCATGCACCCTCTCCTCCACTGCCCAGGGTCCTAGCTGAGGTCATCCCCGTGGACTTCCGAGATTCCCTCCAGAGCCAAGCCTCATGCCAACCCCAAAATAACTCCCTCAATTGAGATATCTCCTTCCCTGTTTCCATATCTGTCCTTCCTCCATCTCAATCATCCCACTCCCCCAAGCTCTCCCCAAACCCTCCCCTTTTCCCTTGTCTCTCATCCTCTCCCCTTCCCCCCAGTCCACCCCCACCCCTATGCCCTCAACTTTTGACTGGCGATCTTGTCTGCTTCAAATTTCCAGGAGGATCTACATATGGATTTTTTGGGGTTCACCTTATTACTTAGCTTCTTTAGGATCATGAACTATAGGCTCAATGTCCTTTGTTTATGGCTAGAATCTACTACTGAGTGAGTACTTACTAGATTCATATTTTTGGGTCTCGGTTATCTCACTCAGGTTAGTGTTTTCTTTTTCCATCCATTTACATGAAAAATTCAAACCTGAACTGGCCTTATCCCGTAGTCAGACTAATGACCCTCTTGAATATCATCATAGAACCTTCATCTGGCGATGGATGGAAAAAGAGACAGAGACCCACGTCGGAGCACTAGATTGAGCTCTCAAAATCCAGTTGAAGAGCAGAAGGAGGGAGGATATGACCAAGGAAGTCAGGACCATGAGGGGTTGGTCCACCCACTGAGAGAGTGTGCCTGAGCTAATGGGAGCTCACCAAATCCAGCTGGACTAAGACTGAATGACCATGGGATCAAAAAGGAGCCTCTGAATGTGGCTGACAATTAGGGCAGACTGAGAAGCCAATGATAATGGCACTGGGACTTGTCTCTACTGCATGTACTGGCTTTTGGGGATCCTATTCTATTTGGATGCATACCTTCCTAGCCTGGATGGAGAGGGGAGAGCCTTGGACTTCCCAAAGGGCAGGGGACCTTGTCCTCTCTCAGGATTGGAGGGGGAGGGGAGAGGGTGTGTGGAGTTTGGGATGGAAGTGGGAGGGGGGCAGGAAGTGAAAATTTTGATTGCTATTATTTATAAAATAAAAAATTAGACATAAAGTATGTTTGCTTGCTACAGATAATCGTATTTATTTAAATTCAAACTGAGAAGCAAATTTTTATGTAAAACTTAATCAATTTAATGCTTTACTTATAGAGCACCTCTGGTGTGAACTATCAATTGTGAACTGGCAATAAAAGTGTATGCCTCATCAAGAAAACTTTTCTTTGGAACGGACAGAGATAACTACACAAAACCACTATCAATAAAAATCCATTGGAAAGCTTGGTCCCAAGCAATGAATCTACAAAATGCTCTACACTTAAGATTCAAGGAACATCACAGAAGAGGGCACATGAAGACTGAAAGAGCCAGAAGATCATGGACTTCTGTGAAACTGTGTCTCCTAGTAACATCAGAAGATGCAGCTGCAAAGTCTCACCCACATGGCTGTCCAAATGGGAGCCGAACAAAGAGGACACTAAGCAAGCACATTAAATAAATAAATAAATAAATAAATAAATAAATAAATAAAATTTAGCACTAAATATTATTCCCTGAAAATATAGCAAGATAAAGAATGTCACAAAGACAATATTAGTGAACATAACAAACTGCATAGGGAACACCCCACAAGTCACAACTTTGCACAAAAATACTACAGGCCACTGGTAAAGCTAGGATGAGGAGAAGTGCCCCTGCCCAAGGAAGAACACAACAATTAGTTGCCCATTACCAAATGGTCAGACTTAGAAACACAATTCTAAGTAGCACATGGACTCAATAGGTTATGTTCGGGAATACACATGTATATACGAATGCATGTATGTAAGAAAGAACAATTGATAAAAAGGAAGTCGTAAGTTTGGAAGAAGCTCAGGGATGGGTATGTGGGAAGGTTTGGAGGTAGGAGAGGGAAGGGAGAAGTGTTGCTATTAAAACACAGTCCCAAAATTAAACAAAATAAACTGACTGGGAAGGCATTTTGTCCCTAACAATAATAAACTTAAATCAACAATCACTGTTTCAAAATTGTCCCATGGTGAACATTGCTTCATTTAGTGAGCAGTTACGACACAAAATTTTTGAGTGGTATATACTGGATTAACATTTAAGACTGTGTTTATGAGCAGCGACATTGGACTAGTTACTAGTGTTCAAGCTTTCATTTTACCATCTGTGCAAATAGAATGTTAGTACTACTATCAACAACAAATAAGTATATAAAAAGTGTATAGATCATTTCCTAATATTAATAAGCATTTGATGCTTCAGGATTAAAGTATCATCTTTATCTACATCCTTAACATCGATGAATTCCATTACAATGATATATTAACTATGTATAGTATAAATATGTTACTTAAGTAAAAGTAATCAATTAATAAATTATACTAAATATATTAGTATGTTGTATAATATAAAAACATTCCTGTAGGGAGTAGTGTCTGTAAACACAGCAGTTTGCACTTTATTTTATAAAACCTATGTTTTATTTGCTTCATCATAGAACTTTGCTTTGAAAACAAGATTTATTTCACATAATAAAAAAGTATTTTTTTCTCAGCATAGAAAGAGGAGGTCGGATGTTGTTAAAAGTTGCATCAACTATGATTTTAATTTGACAACAGAGACATGAGTTGATAATAAAGGCTTTGTTTATTTATTTTAAAAACATAGTTTTTCTTGTCTCCTCAATAATAAATAAAACTAACTTCAGCTTTACTTTATTTAAAAATAGTTCACTTGAGTGCTGGATCAAGGAGCTTTATGGTACTTGTCAGGCATGCATGTGAACCTTAGAATCTAGACTACAGCAATATCTAACTGTGGTGGTCTTAATGAGACTGGGTTCCAAACACTCATATATTTAATGTTTTGATTCCACAGTTGGTTTTACTGCTTAGGAAGGATTAAAGAGTGATCCTGTAGAAGAAGAACATCTATAGGAGGCATGACTTGAAGTTTCTAAAGACTTGGGCTATTCTAGTTAGCTCTTTCTTGCTCATGGTTGTATCTCAAGCTGCGAGCTCTCAGAGCCGCGCCTGCCTCCTTCCTCCCATGCTCTTTGCCAGGATTGTTATGGACTCTAATCCTTACAGTTACAGTAGCTGTAAGGTTCAAATTAATGGTTTTTTTATAAGTTGCCTTGCTCATGGTGTCTTATCGCATCAATAGAAAAGTTAGACACTAACTAAGCAAGTTAAATAGGTATGAAAAAATGTAAAGTAGGGATTACCTCCTTATAATACAAATATATAAAGAACTCCACAAGGACATGGCCAAAGGACATACCAACATGGACAGGAAAGAGCTCATGAGGCCACAACCTTACCCAAAGAACTTTAGGCAACAGAAAAAGCTGGGAGTAGGAGAGGTGGTCCTCCCCAGGGAAGAACACACCAATAGAAGGTACAGTGTCAATCAACCAATGCTGAAACCATCCATACAAGTAATAGTATGCAGAGTAAGCAGGTTATATTTTAGGACTATATATATATATATATATGTACGTATACACATATGCAAGCAATAACAATAGTGAAAACAGGGCATTAATTTTAGAAGAGTAGGGAGGACATGAGAGGGTTTGAAGAAAGGTAAGGTAAGGTAGAAATGTTAAATGTAAAATTATGTTATAATCTCAGAAATAAAATCAAAAGAGAACATGAGAGTTCTTACACTCTAAAGTGTATTTCTTTTCGCTTGTTTCTGGAGAGATGGCGTTATGTAGCATGTCTATTTTACGCAAAAGAATTCAAACTTTTACTCATCTGCAAATACCTAGGGAGCTGGTGATATTTGATTATCCAGATCAGATTTACTCTCTCATGTTAGCAATACCTTTGTCTATCTAAAATTTATATTCTTTAAAACATAAAGCAGCAATTTATGCACATTCATTCTAGAACAGATCTTTTTGCTCTGCTCCGGTTGTATGCTGTTATTTTCCGCCAGGAATGCGTTACATTCTTTAAGAAAGCCATTACATATAGTAGGCCATGAAGAGAACAAACAACTTTTCACTCTTGTGATACTTCAAATTTGAATAGCTTTATGTCCATCATTCTGCTTCAACTATTAATTCATGTGTTACACCAGTGCTTTCGACTTTCTACGTTTGTAAATTACTGATATCATGTCTGTCTATGCAACATATTTTAACTTTTCTTTGAAAGATATTATGATCTGGTACTAAAAGTTACAAGGTCACTAATTTACCTATTATTGGAACATGATAATCACAATGAGTTCTGCTTAAAATTCTGGTGAATTTGGTACTGGTATTAATTTACAAGATTAGACTATCCTATTCCTTATATGTGTTAACAGGTTCCTACTGTAATTTTAAGAAACAGAAAATCACAAATCAATTAATATATATTCCAGAACAAATGTTTGAATTGGTAATATTTGTTAATGACTCAAAAACTTTGAACTTGATTACAGGCATGGATAATTTTTAGGCTTCTGTTTTCTTGGGTCAGGGCCTATCAGAGCCCTCAGTCCTTGAGGTAGGCTTTGTAGACTGCGCTTTGTACAATGAGATGGAGTTTGCTCAAATTCTACCTGGTGTAAATTTGAGGACACCAGACAAGCGCATGTCATTCAGCTTTGTATTCACACTTCAGATAAGCATATCCACATGGACAACATGGAAATAATTTTACTCGTGTGGAATCTACATTACTAGAAACTTCAGTTCTCTTCATTCCATAGCTGCCATTTGCTTGCTGTTTGCTTTGGTTGTTATATTTGATGTTTGTTTTCTCTGCTTTTTATGGCTAAAACAGGAGCTGCTTTTTTGTTGCTTTTTTTTTTTTTGGCTTGTTTGCTTATGGGCTTTTTGTAGGAATATTCTTTTGGCTAACATTATGACAATTCTATTTCCATGTTATTTTTCCCTGGACAATCATGTTTTATTATAATAACCAAATTACAACGGGAGCCAGTAGACAAGAGAGGTTAGGACACAAAAGTCAGAGATGGGAGCACATTATCCATTAACGGGGAGTTTCAGTTTCCCAGGGCGAATTATGAAAGTAATTATAGTGTCTGCTGAAAGGGTAATTGTAAAGACGTATTAAAATAACATGCTGAAAGTTTAGAGTCCAATGCTTGGGCATAGTAAATGATGTAAAATGATTAAATGATAGCTGCTTTTACAATTGCTGTTGATTTCCTTAGCTTTTCTTTCTGAGGAGAATTTTGAATCTGTTTTGAGATACTCTCTCAAAAGTTTCCTTTTGCATTTAGAGTATTTTCTTAGCAAGATTAGAAGGCAGATTCACATGAACTTTTCCTAAGCCTTTCTCTTGATGGTACATATAGCAAATATGTGTGTGGGTGTCATGAGAAAAGAACAACGACAAGACCAGTGAATTTGAAAATCAGCTGTCTGGGGAGGTAGCTCAGTTGATAGACTGCCTTCCTGGTAAGCAGGTCACCCTGATTCCAGCACCAAATGAACTGAATGTTTTGATGCTGTAATCTCTGTACTCAGAGGTAGAGGCAGGAAAATCTTTGCTCAGGGTCATTCTTAGGTACATAGCAAGTTAAAAGAGCCAGCCTGGGATAAAGAATGTATTCAGGAAAAAATATTATTTGAAAATGTTATCCCCATATAAGCAAACTTCTTAGAGAAATACATGCCTAGAGAACACCACAGGGAACCCAAGTCACAAATCCTATTTTAAAAAATCCCAGTGGGGGCTGGAGAGATGGCTCAGAGGTTAAGAGCCTGCTCTTCCAAAGGTCCTGAGTTCAATTCCCAGCAACCACATGGTGGCTCACAACCATCTGTAATGTGGTCTGGTGCCCTCTTCTGGCCTGAAGACAGAATATTGTATACATAATAAATAAATAAATATTTTAAAAAATCCCAATGGATGTTGCTGTGTAATTGTTAAAAACTGCTTAAATAATGGAACATTAAATACATTAATTAGATATTGTCATGTGGTGTAGGAGTTCCTTCTGTTTGTTTGTTGCTTTCATTGGTTCGTGAATAAAGAAACTACCTTGGCCTAGTTGATAGGGCAGAACTTAGGTAGGTGGGGAAGACAGAATTGAATACTGGGAGGAAGAAAGGTGGAGTAGGAGAAAGACCATGGATCCTCCACCTGAGACAGATACTGGTTATTATCTTTGTCGGTAAGCCACTGCCATGTGGCAATATACAGATTAATAGAAATGGGTTACTCTGTGACGTAAGAGTTAGTCAATAAGAAGTTAGAACTAATGGGCCAAGCAGTGTTTTAATTAACACAGTTTCTGTGTGGTTTTTTCGGGTATAAGCTAGCCAGGCAGCCAGGACAAACAAGCAGGCTATTTCCTCTGCAACAGTCATGTTTTTAAAATGTGATATTTCCATCTGATTTTTGCATTTGATGTATAAAATTTCTGAAAAGCAGGCAGTCATGTTTTTCTGGGATAGACATTGTTAGGGTAAATGATCATACTTGCTTTCACATTGACACATACCTCAGAAACAGAATATTAGATTCTCTAAACATACTTTAGAAGACACTGGAGACACACAAAAGAACCATGGTTGACTTCATTCTCTTTTAGGGGTCATTTCTATTATGCAGTAATTGGAATTTCAGGAGTGCTTCAATCCAACACTAGAAGTGTTATGAACTATTGAGTATATTCTACTTTTGAAATAGTCTAAACTGCACTTTCTTTTTAAAAAATTACAGAAAGTTTAATATAAAAATTCAATTACATTTATATGTAACAGTAATGAGCAATAGCAGTGTAAAATTCAAATTCATTAGATTTACAAAAGCAAGAAGAGAATCTAATCTCAGTCATGTCTACCAGTACATGTACATGATATATGTAAAACTCTGATAGAAGCTAACTACACTCTAAACAAGTGAAGCTGCACCCGATACAGTATTTTATGATTACTTAAAATTATAGACATGCATATCTGCACATACAGTCACGCGCACTTTAAATGAAATTTTGCAACTTGGGGTGAAAATGCTTCCCCCTGCTCGTATTGAACAGTACTCTAAACCTAGCCTAGAGGACATACAAGAGCCACATTCCTACTACAATCAAAGTTCTAACTGCCTTCTAAATAATTATCTATGCCCATGGATGAGTGTAACTCCCACAGCTCATCACCGCTCTTCAGAGAAGTGCCCCTCAGTAGACTGAAATCATTACAGAAATCCACAACTTGCCAAAATGGCCAGAACAACTGCCTGGTATACCTATCCCAAATTGATACACCTATAATACAACCTGTGCATCCAAGGTTCAGCGAGCATCACAGAAGAGGGAACAGAAAGTCTGTGAGAGGAAGAGAACCAGGTTGTTTACCGACAGACAATGTATTATATGTATGACATGGATTGGCACTCATGAAATGTTAACACTGTGATCACCTGAACAAGACCTGAAAAATAACACCACCAATCGACTTTTAAGTATAGATGGAGGAAATCTCACAAGGCCCTAAACCTGAATACATGGCTTTCGGGGAAGACTAAGTCATCTGTAGAAAGGAGTGCCCTCATATGTTATCCAATCCCAAGAACTCAGATATACACATATCTATATCACAGTAACAAAGAATAATAGATAATGGTTTTGAGAAGAATTTGGAGACAAGGGAGGAGAAAGAGAGAGCGGAACAGATGTAAACTGATCTCTCTTCATGTCAATATTTTTATTTTACCCTTTTATATTTCATTCATAAAATTAAAAGAACCTTCTACTTACATTATGGAATCTATTTTAATTGCATCTGCTGAAATCGAGGAATGCTTTGCATATGAAGTTTCTTTATGAATCCATCATACAAAACTGTTATAGTTCTGCTTTCACAATAAGCACACGAATAAAGTTTCAAGATTCTAGGATACTGTACCTGCTACTATCCCAATGAGTGGGATGAGAACTGCGAACACAAGAAGGTAGAGAGCAACTAGGGCAGTTTTGAAGGACTTCAGCTTCTCCTGAGGGGAAGAGCCATTTTTAGGATCTAAAACAGAGCAAAAGAAAACAGAGCAAAACCCCAAACTATTATTAAAAAACAAAAAATAAAACAAAACAAAAAAAAACTTAATTAAAGTCTTGGTAACTGGTGCTGGGAATAAGGTTTAACAGATGAAGAGCTTGTTGTACAAGTAAGAGATCATGACTGTATATGATCTCCTATTTGTACATCTCACATGGTTGAACTATATCACATGATTGAACTATAACACACAATTATTTTAAATGGGAAAAAAGTGAGTCACATTTTGACAAAAGTTCAGAATGCATCAATAAAGCCCATTCTCTGGATCTATGAGAATGTCATACCTATACTTATCTCTTTGACATACTTTCACATAGGACAGGAATTTTTATAAAGGGATATGGATTGCAGTGGACTATGCTGATACTGAGGGAAAATGGTAAATTGTTTCCATATTTATTGTGTAGGGAGTATTTATGTGTGTTCATGTATTGTGTGACTACCTGTGTACAGCTGGATTTCTGTGGAAGCTCATGGTCAGTGTTTAGATGTCCTCCTCTATTGTTCTTCACTCTTCCCTTTTGAGAGAGGGTCTCTCATGGAACCTATATTTTCTTGGTTTCACTATACTGGTGATCAGGGAGCTTCGGGGATCTGCCTGTATTTGTCTTCCCAGTGCTGTGTTCAGAAGAGTGCTCTGCCACCCTCTGCTTTCTACACAGGTTCTGAAGATCCAAATTCAAGTCTCTCTGCTTGCACAGCCAGCGCTTGACTGAATAAGCCACTTCCTAAGCATCTTCCTAAGAGGGTTCTGTATAGCCCAGACTAGCACCACAGTCACTCTGCAGCAGAAAATAGCCTTTAACTCACGATTTCCCTGCCTCTACCTCCTAAGTTCGGGAATTATAGATGTGCACCACTTTGTTCACCTCTGTTCAATTCCATTTTGTGAAACATGGAAAGGGAAAGAAATGAACATTTAAAAAGGTACAGTCAAGAAAAAAAAGTAAAGAATGGAAATGAAAAGAACAACCCATTATAAAAGCAAGTTGAAACTGTATTTCAGGCTGACTAAATGGGAATCACATTTGTGCACCTTGTGTGCGTCTGAAGCATAAGGAGGTCAGGGGTCAGTTCATCTGGAACTGGATTCGCAATGGTTATGAGATGCCACGTGCATGCTAGGCACCAAAGCCAGGTCCTTTGAATAAGCAAGTGCTCTTAGACATGGAACAATCACTGTCCCTTCCACTTTATTTTTGAGAGAAGTTCTCTCACTGAACCTGGAAATTACAGATTTAATTAGATGGACTGCCCCAGAAGCCACAGGAATTTTCCTGTTACTGCCTCTCCCACACAGGAATTACAGGTGTCAACTGCCACATGTGATTTGAATTTGCATTTGTAAACTCATGAGTTTTGCATGCTGTTTCCTTTACCTGAAACCTCTCTGTAATGCTTCTCTTTTCACCCATATCCTCAGATATGGGCATCAAGGATTAGTAGATGGATAAAACTTTCTGTTCTGTCACCTCAAGCCTGATCAGAAGCTGGTGAGCTTTGCTTCTTTTGTGTTCCTGTCCCAATCTGATTCATCAGTTGTAAGTGGAACTTTTATCCTCCCTAAAAGATATGCAGAAGTACTAGCTCTAAATAACTATGAAGACGAGTTTAATGAACTAGGGTCACTGCAGATGTAGCCAAGTGTAAATGATGTCTTGTGGTGTGATAACTATTCTGATGACTGGATCTTTACAAGAAGAGAAAAGAACATACACAGGAAAACGAACTCTCAGAAGCAAGAAGCAGAAGTGCAATGATGCACCTAAAAGCCGGGACTACCAAGAATTGCCAGAAACCACTAGAAAGAGACATGGCCTTTAAATGACCTTTGTTCATTTGGATACCTTGATTTAAGACTTCTGGGACAGAGAACTGTGACAAAACAAACAAACAAATCTGAACTGATTTAAGCCACTCAACCCAGGACCTGTGCCACTGTCATTTTCTACTTACTGGGAGGAAGCAATGTTGTCATTGAGCGAGCATCAAACTTCACAGATTCTGAGTAGCTATCAGCATCCTCTGGTTCATCAGGGAAGAGCCTCTGTTGCTCTATGATCTATTAAACACACACAGAATACACGAATCCCATATGAAATTGTTGAGGTTTCTCATGGTGTTTTAAGTTATTTATAATTAATATTTAATTTTAGCAAGCAAAAGTATAATTAAATACACATGCCACATAGTCTTTCTCTTGACTTTTCACTGAAGTATTAAAAAATCAAATTTATAGGGCTGTGTGGATAGTAGCCAATAAAGTGCCTGCTGATCAAGCATGAATACCTGAATTTGGATGCCTATCATCCCCCAAAAAGCTAGACATGGTACAGTCCTAGTGATCCGATCTGGAGACAGGAGGATCTCCAGCACTATGATGACCAGTCTGTGTAACCTGCTGATGAATCTCAGAGAGAGTAAGGGATCCTGTCACAAAATAGATGGTGCAAAGAAGTAGGAGACAATATCCAGTGTTGACCTTTGATTTCCACATACAGGTACACACACGTACAGGCTCACATGTTTAGCTTCACTACCTCCAGACATGCACTGACATGCACACAACACGCACTCACACATAAGTTCCAAACACATGAAAAACAGACGGAAGAGGTCCGATTCTTGAGGACTCGCTGTGCTGTTCTCTGTGGAAAGGCATCTGTGTTTACAGGCATGTGGTCTTTGCATGTGAAGAGGAGTAGACTTACTTTTCTAAGGACAAAAAGATTCAACTGGCAGAAAAATAACTAGCTAAAGAGAAACAAATGATTTCCCCTAGAACAAATAGCCTCGTGTTTTGGGACAAATATTTCCTGTGACTTTCTGGACTGATTCGTTACACACAGCTTAGTGAGCCAGACTTCCTTGCCAGGGCATCTGCTTATCTGTTTAGAAAGATAAAGTCAAGTAATTAGATTTAAATGCACAGGAAAAGGTAACTTTTCTTTCTTTCCCTTCTAACTGGCGCTCTCTCCCTCATCTCCTTCCTCTTGTTCTCCTTCTCTTTTCTTTCTCTCTCCTCTTTCTCCCCAACTCTTCTCTATTTCTTTATATGTTTACATTACACAACGTAAGTCTGCTCTTGTATCATTTTAATTCAATCACTATTCTACTGAGCAATATATACCTTTATTTCTAGTGGCAGTAGTCAGTTATCAAAGCCCTGAATGTTTTAATATGGAGCTAAATGGGCCACCATGACAGACTTCCTGATATGTGAGTGGAGAGGGTCAATAATTTGCAAGTCATAGTGAGAGGAGCAAAAGTCTGGCCTGGGATTGGACATTGAGGTGACACTTATGACAGCATTGCACTGCACATTCAAAAGATAGCAAAAAGAATCCTGAAAGTTTTCACTAAAAGGAAATATTTAACATACAAATTACAACATAGTACTCACTAAGATGTACACTTTTATATTTACATTTATAAATTTAATTGTGACCAAGATTAGCTCAGTGGTGAAACACTTACCAAGCACGTAACAGGTCTCATTCTTACTTCCAATTATACAAAATATCTTAATTGGGTTTTCTATTGCTGCAATAAAACACCATGACCAAAAGAAAGTTGGAGAGGAAAGGGTTTATTTGGTTTATACTTTCATATTGCTGTTCATTTGCCAAAGAAAGTCAAGACAGAAGCTCAGACAGGGCAGGAACTTCGAGACAAGAACAGATACAGAGGCCAGGTGGTAAAGAATTGGGTGGAAAAGTGTTTGCACACTGTTACTGGAATCATTTTGTTACTCGCTGTCACTGGTTCTTCTCCAAATGAGTAAAGAAGGCTCTAGCAAGCCTCTTGAGATATCCTGAATTCATTTTCCCCTCAATGCAACGGAAACATTGCAGGCCATTCACTCTATTGTCTATGGAGGAATGTTTATGAACAAAGATGAAGACACATGTCCCTGAAACAAACTTCTAGAATGTAAGCTAGCAGATCCGTGTCCAGTTTTGTTCAACATTGTATTGCCAGAGCTTAAGGCAACCTGGAACTTCGAATATCCTTTATAAGTGTTGAGTGGATAACTGTGTTAGACTTTCTAAGACTTAATCTCATGTATTTGTCTTTGCTTGCCAAGTGAGGTGGACATTTAGAAAACCAGGGAACTGCAGGGATGAGTTCTTTGGCAAACGGAAATTCTTCACAATTTTTGTTTGTGATCCAGATTCTGTGGGGTTTTTACTTTAATTCTAGGGTCCCCCAGTACCATCCTTGACCCTGTACTAATGTAACAGTCTCCACAAGAACTTAGTATTTCAATTCTCTTTTTATTTTTTAGTATTCATTCTCTTATAGGAAATATCTTGTCACGCCTTGAAAATTCATATCCAAATTGACAATCTTAGGCAGGCTTATCTTCTAGTTTAGGCAGCCTGAGCTTGCATCAAAACCAAGGTGTATATTTCCTAGCTTTGTCTCAGCCTCTCCACAAGCTAGAACACTAATATGAGGAAGATGAAGCCAGACTGAAATGCTTTGGATAAAATTGTACTAGAGTAATTTTCCTTTTTATGTATATATATTTTGCTGTCTTTTGGATCCAGAAGTAGACTTGCCTCTTAGGGCTTAGGAACACAAACTGCCTCTGTCCTGGTCCTTGTCTGCAATCCTTTGATTCTTGTGAGTCACAACAGGCCACTGGTTTCATCCACATCCTACTGACATTTGCAGGGACATGTTACTAGCTTTAGGCCAGGGTGATGTAGGTATGGGAGATTAGTTTGGTAGGATGTTTATCTAAGCTAGGTTTTAACCTCTAACCATCAATAATAGTTTTTAAATCACCAAATCTCGGATTCTCTTGCAGTGTTATTCCCAGCTGCTGAAGTTTCTTGTAGGAGATATAGGAACAATGTCTATTCCCTCCTTTTAGATCCTAGTGATAAATGACAGTATGATTCCAGAACATCACAGTTCACACTGGGAAACTGAAGTAATAAGGGTGGCGGGGCTGCGTCCCCAACACCCCAGCCGCCTGCTCGGCTAGCTTATGCCCGAAAAAATTACACGGAAACTGTATTCATTTAATCACTGCTTGGCCCATTCTCTTCTAGGCTAATTCTCACATATTAATTTAGCCCATTTCTAATCATCTGTGTGTAGCACCCCAAGGTGCGCTTACCGGGGAGATTCTAGCCTATGTCCATCCTGGGTCGGAGCTTCATGCTGGGAGCGGGGCATGGCATCTTTCTCAGGCGTCTGCTCCCGAGAGGACAGCAGTCGAGTCTGAGCTCACTTCCTCTTCCTCCCAGCGTTCTGTTCTGTTTACTCCTCCCACCTATCCTCTAACCAATAAAATGGGCCAGGGCAGTTCCTTTATTAGCCAATGACCTTCCTCCATCAGGAAACAATGAGTTTACTGGGCTTACTTAAAGTGCATGACTGATGGGTTTTTATAGAAACATGGCGGACTTTAGTGCAGCTCCTCTGGCAAGTCTATGGATAATTTCTTTCACGTCTTTGCATAGATGAAGCCTCCTTTCCATACTAATTATGAGCCTACATGTAGCCCTCAGACCATTCCTGAGTTCATAACTCTACTTGTATAGCCACATGCAAATAGCTCGAAGAGTGGCCAGATACTCTGGTAACTGTCCAGTGAGCCTTCCCTCTCCCTCATTCACACTTTGACGAGAGGATGTCAAACCGTCCACAGGCTCAGTGGTGACAGACGCTAACAGGTAGGCGCAGATGATCTCAAAGATGGTAGCAGTGTGGCTGGGAAGCTAGCAACTTCTAACACTCCCAATCCTCATCTGTGTATTTTTTCAAACACAGTATTTTCCTCGACACCCACAGTTCTATGAGGATTATGAACATCGACTCTGAACGTAGATGTAGCCATTTCATCACTGTGGGCAACATCTGCTCTCAGCAATCTACTGCTGGGATGCCTTTAATAAACATTCGTATTCGTGACAAAAACATCTTCATGAACAACTGCAGCAATAAAAATTCCTCACATGTTGTGCGATATCTATCAATTTACTCCCTATAGTTTTAGCCCTTTAAAGTATGTTGGAGGGAAGAGAAACAGGCATATAGAGACAGCTTCATTTGAAAAAAAAAAAAACTGAGAAACAAAGTTGCAAACAAGCTTGATTAGTGGACAAGTAAGCAAAAACGATCCTGTACTTTCAGATACAGACAAACCTTTGGTTATTTTCTGTATGATTTTGCTTTGAGACAGTGTGTTACGAGGTCAGCCTGTCTAACCTTAACACACACTCTTCCTCAGACACCTAAACGCTGTGATTACAGGTGTGCTATTATGCCTTCCCCCATACCTGCACAGTGAGTGTGCCAGACCCAGCTCTTGTCCTTTTGTCTCTCCCTATTTGCTCCCCTGATGACCTCAGTGCTTGCATTTCAGATGCAAGGATCTGTGTTTGATCCCCAGAGCCATAAAATGAAGATAAAGATAAAGCAAAACAAAATGAAAACTTACATACATAAATAAAAAAAAAATATTTTCCAGAATGAGTGGGCTTCCTAGATCGGCTTGTACCTCAAGGAAAGTTCATATTTCTTTAATGCGAAATTTAAAATTTTTGCTTTTTTTCCCCTGGAAAATGTTTCTGGCTTGCTTGAAGTTAGTTCCCTAACGCAAAAGGTATCACCAGTGCATCCCATCTCGTCCCAAAGGAATTTATTATTAAATTTATTGAATTATTTCAACTTTCTTCTGATTATAACTATGAAAATTTTGTAAATGTTAGAGCACATACCCAGGTCGAGTCCTTCCTTGTCAGCATTGTCATGCGATGCTAAATGCACTTTCCAAACACCAAACAACTTCACATCCAATGGCTTTTCCCGCCACACCCAGCTGCACTGATAAAGGATGGGGGAATTCTTTGAGCTTGTACAATCTACGCACAGAGTGTTCTCATGAGAAGCAAAACACTTCTCTACCATGTCAGCTTTTTATAAAGGGTCAAAAGTTCATGGAAGTAGCAACAGGAAAGCCATAGGAAAGAACTCTGTGGTTCACACGAACCACAGTCTTCATTTTTGCTTTCCAGTTTATCACTAAAACAATGAGGGCCATGGAAGCCTGAGGCAGAAGTCAACTTCTACCATCCTGTCATTTTTATACAGTAAAATGCCATCAGTCGTCACAGGTAACTTTAGTCTTTGAACACATGTCTGGATTTACACAGTGAGCACTGTAGTGTGCATACTGATGGGTGTAACACATTCCCCTTAAAAATCATGTTTTCCTCCTTCTTTGATTTTCTTTTTTAAATTTAAAATAATGAACTACATGATATTTAACCAAACATGAGAATGTATAGATAGTTTCTTATACCACCCCTCCTTTTCTGGAGCACATGATTTTTCTAATATATACTTTGATGTCATAGCTATTGTGGTCAGTTAGATTTATTCTTTTGATATTCTTTTGTTGAACCGCTAGACTAAGTGAAAACTACTGCGAATTTCCTGGTATCTACTATTGTTTGGAAAGATGGTAGAATACCATATATGTTTGAGCAGTATGTAAATGAGGAGATTATAAATTGAATTCATCACCATAGACTTGCTCAGATATTAACAAGAGTGGTGATATTTTTAAGACATCTTTGTTTTCATGTTTATAACTATTGTAGAAGAGATATTTTCACTCAATCATTTCTTAATTACTGTACCCCTTAGGTATTGTCTGTTCATATCCATTGCTTGAACAATACAGGGACACTTTCTTAAACCCATATGTAACTAAGTAAGGGATTAGTGTATGTCATCTATTTACTATTTGTTTTTGTTGCTGTTGTTATCGTGCTAGCACTGGACTTGCGAACAAATGTGTGCTCATCAAAGGGTGTCACAGGTGAACTATACCCCCAACACTCTCTTACTTTTAATTTTGAGACAGGATCTCACTAAATTGCTCAGGCTGGCCTTGAACTCACACTGTAGCTCAAGCATGCCTAGAGCTTGATGTCTGACTGCCTTGGCATTCTAAGTAACTAGATCACAGACTTGTGACCATGCTTACTGCCACTCTCTTTTCATATTTACTATACATCATTTTTTCTAAGACAAATCTCTACATATATTTGCTGTGATCTTCTTACAAGCAAAATTTTTAACATTGGGGCAAATTGCTTCAGTGTCATTGACCTTAATCTTTTAAAATAATAACCTTGTTTTTATAAATAAGTAGTTGACAATTTGCATCTTTTTTTTTTTTTTTTTTTTTTGGTTTTTCGAGACAGGGTTTCTCTGTGGTTTTGGAGCCTGTCCTGGAACTAGCTCTTGTAGACCAGGCTGGTCTCAAACTCACAGAGATCTGCCTGCCTCTGCCTCCCAAAATTTAAAATCAGTATATTTGGGCAAGCATTGTTTCCATGCTGAAGAGATGAGTGTATAAAAATTTCTGTTAGCAACTGAACCATATATGTGCCTGATGGTCATGATAATTATCCTTTGAAATAGAAAGAGCATCAACATTTGAATCTAATAGCAGAAAGTGACTAAAAACATGTGATGAAGATACATTTTATAAAATTCTCAAAAAATAAAAACAGAAAGATAAAAAATAAAGCATTAACAAGCATGCTAAATGGAAAATGCCATATTTTAGGTAAGTGATATTTAAGAAATCAAGCACATATTTTAACAATTTTGAATTATAAAAATATATTTTTATAATATTATATATATGTAAAGGAATACTACAAAGGCAAAAATCATTTTAAGCTTGCCTGGTATGCAGAATAATATGCCAATATATGACTCAGCATTGCTTTACAATTCTATATTACCATATTAGACTTACTTATTTCACCTTCAAGGCAGCTCTGTGAACTATAGAATCAGATCTTCTCTATTTTGCACCTTAGGACCGTAACACCTAAATGGTGTAGGTACTTACTCAGTGTTATATAGTTGGAAGTGAAGTGGTGGACTTGAAAACAAGCAGATAGTGTACTTATACAATGTGAGCTCTCAGCTACTACCCTAAACATTCATCATTTCAGCTCGGTGACTATTCTGCCCCAGTTCCACATGGCCAGTGATAACACCAGCCCACTTTTATGCTGTGTCTTACTCATCAATCAATATCACTCTAAATTGTAACATCTCCATGAATTTATTTCTTATAGTTCTTTCTCCTTTTAAAGTAAGAGCCCCTCCTCTTCATACAGTAGTTACCTATATCAATTTTATTCTATGTAGTATGCTCATGTCATATTAATTGTATTTTATTCTTTGTATCCCTTCCCCATATGCAATTCAAAAACTATCTACAGAAGAGACTCAGACGATATCACTCTATGAACAAGTCAAGATTAATACAATCATCTGGTTAAAACCACACATGTCACATGAAGAGAAAGGAACAAACTAATTTATTAAAATACTTTGAATAAAGCCAACATTTTAGCAAAACACACAGAGTTACTTGCTAAGATGACTATAAAGTAGTTTGTTTCAGGCATATTTATTGTGTTTTCATTAATGAAAACCTTGGCAGGAATTTTTACTATTATCTTACCTGTTGAACAACAAAACCAAACTATTAGTGATAGAAGAAGAGTTCTGCTAGAAATTATTGATCAGCACTCTCTCTTTCTTTTACCATCTCTCTTTCTCTCTCCCCTCACATACTCACATGTATGCAGACTAAACTCACACCATCAATAGAAGTAATTTCGGAAAAAATAAATTAAAATATACCTCTTTTGTCATTGCTGGAAAAGAAGACCGCAGTGATTTATCTGCTTCCCTCTCTTTACAATTGAAACCTAAAATTTTTATCACATAGTATTTCAGCATCTGGCCCACAAGGAAAGGAAATGACACAGTTGTGTGTTGAAAATCTTTCTTTGAAATGTGTTTCAATAGCCGTCTCATCCATGCACAAGTTTGCAAAATCTAAATTTGTCAGATAACTCATTCCCCTTTCCTCACAGGATATTGTAAAAAGAAAAGGGGAAGTTAAAGCAAAGGAAAAGCAAGAATTTTGGAGCAGAGTTCAAAATTAACCCCATGCCAGTCACCCTGGTGCAGAAGTTATGTATGACCTCTCCCGCAGCCGTTATTTCCCACCGCATCTTCTTGCAGTCATACAGTGCTGAGAGAAAAAACCCTGTTTGTTTGTTTTTTCTCTTTGCCATTCTTTCCCCCCGGTCTTTTTAGAAAAGAGTAAAGTAAAAGCATAAAACAAAACATAAGGAAAGTCATTGGCACTTAACAATGGAAAGCAACAGCGCTGCTGCTCACTCCAGCTCTCTCTGTAGTGGTGGTAGCAGTATCGCTTTCTTTATTATCTATGAGCATATCGGACTAAAGCAAGCTGAAGCATCAGCTTAATGGGAGGGAAAACCCTTCACCTTTCTAACACGTGGTCAGAAGTTTGTACGTTCTGTTTTGTTCATTCACTCACATTCCACAAATTCAAATATGACACAATTAAAAATTCAATATTGCATTTTTAAGCTTTTCTAGTTATTATTTCTGAACGGAGACACATAGATTATGTTCCACAAGCAATGGTTGGTGCTCCAAACAGAAGGAATCTTACTTTTCTTTTTAAAATAAAATTTTCTTCTTTCATACACTACATCTCTGCAGCAGCCTCCCACCCTCCGCACTTGCCAGCACCCCCCAGCACCCCCCAGTGCCTATATCCCCTCCATATCTACTGTTCGTCCCTTCCCTTTCCTAAAAGAGGAGGCCTCTTGGGGTTATCAACTGAATATGACATAACAAGTTACATTACGACTAGGCATATACCTTCATATCAAGTCTGGGTGAGGCAATCCATAGAAGGCAAAGGGTCCCAAAAGAAGGTGAAAAGTCAGAGATACCCAGCTCCCACTCTTAGGCGTCCCACAAAGCACCAAGCCAACAACTGTAATATATGATGAGTATCTAGCCTAGGTCCATGTGGGCTCCCCAAGCTGCCATTTCTAACTCTGTGAGCCCCTATGAGCCCTGCTTAGTTGATTCAGTACACCATCGCCATGAGAGGCTCCTGGCAGCTGATAGAGCACTTGCTGAAACCCAGAGTCAAACATTAAACAGAGAGAGATTTCAAATTGGAGATTTCCATAGAGTTCCTCCCCTTGGAGCTTGAAACCTCAGGGAAAAGGGGGAGGAATAATTGTAGGAATCATATTTCTTAATCCACAATGGATCAAATCAGTAAGCCCAAAGGTACCTGCAATCAGTTGACAATGTGTGGTAGAAACAAGACAAAAGCATTTGAGAAAACACGAATGACAGTGTAATAGTCCTAGTGTTTATGATATCAGTATGGCGAACCCATTCTAAAGGTAATTAATAATATACTAAGAGTGGGCAGGTGGTAGAGCATTTGTGTAGCATTAGCCAAGTTGCCTTGGCTCAATCCCTAGCATCACATCTTTTTTAATTAAAAGAAAAATAGCAAAAAAAATATTTAAATGGGGGCATATAACTTCTAGCCATGATGTTTTAAACAAAAAAGTAGAATTATAAATCCACCCACACTGAACTAGCCCCAAGGCTATTGGGCTATTTCATAGCCACACGGCAGAAGTTTCTCATAAAAGTTGAAAGAAAGAGGAACCGTGAATGGACACAAGATCTCATTCATTTTCCTTTATTATTATTTGTGAATAAATACAATTATAGGGCATGGGGCCTGCGATATCAGGAGTATAAGAATCACATCCTACCCAGGCATAGCAATGCAGGCCTTTGAACCTAGCATTCAGGAGACCAAGTAAGGGGATATGGAGTTTGAGGTCCCCTAGGCATCTAATGAGATCTCATCTCAGGAAGAAAAAAAAAAGATTTTCTATATTGTCAAATGGAGATAACCGGTTAATATTATAAGATCTTTAACATCACACTCAAGGAGTCACCAATTATGACACTGACTTTCCGACTTTCTTTTTTTGAGAACTTTAGACTAGAGCCAGTTGCATGTCTAACCTCTCTGCAACAGCGTGATATATTTAGTTGTACTTCACAATGCTAACCACTTCCCGTCTTCATTGTTTCCTCATTTTCTGGCTAATCTAATTGTTCATGTAAAAAAAAATCCTATTTCTTCTACCTACAAAAATATTAATTATCCACACATTTTGTTTGCATATAAATATGCTTATCTATAATTCTATAATGTGTTGTATTATCTATTAGGTATTGTATAATGTGGTACTATCTCTAACTCTTTACCAGGAAATCAGGGAGAAAAGACTAAACCCAGATCAAGGGCTAATTGAAATTGGGGAAGAATGAGGAATGTCTAAGGACCTGGAGCTTTATTGTCTTATTTACTTACAGTCTCTCTGCCAGGCCTGGTTAGGAAAGTGTGGTGGGCCAAAGAGAAGATTCAGAGGATAAGGGTGCTTGCTCCCACACTTGACCACCTAAGTTTGACTCCCAGGATCCACATGGTGAAAGGAGAGAACTGATTCTTTCAAACTGCCCTCTGACCTCCACATGTGTACTGTGAAGTGTCATCTTACCCATCTCCTCAAAACTTAAATGTTCTTTAGAAAGGAAGTATGACTTTAAGACATACTTAAGTAAAATTTCATTGTCCTTGAACTGTGAGTTACCGCAATTGGTAGTCTAATATACTGATTTTAGACTGTGTCAAAATACATTTTTTCTTAATCGTGGGTTAGCGTGTGTACCATAGAAGGGTGTGTGCAGTCCTCATCAGAAGCATTGCATGGAAAAATCGATCACAAACTTAGGCATATTTTAGGGCTTTTGGGTGGTCACCTATTATCAGTCTCGTGACGCATGGATGGATCAAGTCACTTTATCTCTTCTATCTTTAAACATGTATCTACAGTGAAGACTGCCGAAGATTTGCCTAGCATTCAGTAAAAGTTCATCATCAATTGGGGAACTGGACTGGAAAAGCTGAGTTGAATGCTTTAGGGTTCATTGCATCAAAAGCTTAACTGAAGACCTAACATTTTATATTCTCTAAGAGTTACTTATATGTTTAAATTTGCAACTGGTCATTAGTTGTAAGAAATAAAATATGACATACAGAGTCTGGAGACAAGGCTTAGGAATTAGCAGAATATACTGCTTTTCCAGCGGATCCAAGTTTAATTCTAAGCACCCATGTCAAGTGGCACACAGCCGTGTGCAATTTCAGATCATGGCATCTAACGCTTTCTTCTGCATTCACAGATACTGCACTCACATGCACAAATCCACACATGCACACACACACACACAGAGTCTCACACACACATATAATAAAAATAATAATAAATGTATGTTTTGACATAAGTATGTGATTTTTCTACTAATATTTGTGTGTTCTGAAATCAAGCAAATGAGTTCTGACTTACATACAGAGTTTGAAAATGCCGGAGTGGGTATATATATATATATATATATATATATATTAAAGTGAATATTATGACTACATAAAACTATCAAAACAATGCAAAATGTTGGCAAATACAGAGAAGCTGAGCAGAAATTGGTTTACCTCAGGCAGAATCCACCAGAGGCTCAAACTTGTAGGAATATAACATAGAAACTGTTTTTTAAAAAAGAAACCATGGGCTCCTCACTTGAGCCCCAAAGCCCACATTTTGCATTTGTTTCCTCTAGATGTTTTACTGTGAGATTTTACAAAGTTCTGTTTCAGACCAGAGAAGGAACACAAATCTGAATTTATATTGGCTTCCAGGAGCAGTACCAATCATAACTACATTTATGACAAAGAACAAATACCCACAGAACTGTCACAGGACAGATCACACCTCACATTCTGGCAAGCATCATCAAAGGCACATATCAAATGCAAAACACTCTACTGGAGTAGGAGTAATCATCTTAGGGAAACCAGTGGTCTAGCTTCAGGAACCAAGCACATCTAAGAGCCAACTTTCTGAGTTAGAGAAGAGATGAGGATCATCTACTCCCTACCTTGACCAGGACCCCTTTTCCAAAGACAAACTTGGGACCACTGGATTCTTTTGTTTTTTCTTATTGGGATCCATTGGGTGCATATGTCTCTGAATTAAAATATTCTATTATTTGCCCCTTTAGTTGATAGATTATTAGGGTGGTGTGATGGTTAATCTTCACTGTCAACTTAAAATGCATCTGAGATGCCTGTGAGAGTGTTTCCAGAGAGATTTCAGTAAGAAGGGAGGAGCCATTCTGACTGCTGTGAGCCACCATTTGATGAGCCAGATTGGGCTTCAGGGCTGACTCAAAAGGATGCCTGCTAGCTGCTAGCAGTTCTCTCTTTCTTAGCGCCTAAATTCTCAATGTAATCAGATGTTGCATGCTCCCATTGCCACATCTTCATCCTCATGTGGTTTCTTCTTAAACCACAGCACAAATGAAACCTTCCTTGCTTTTGACCAGCTATTTTATCACATAAATAACAAACATCACCAATACAAAGAGTAACTAACTTTGGGTTTCTGGTGAATCCTAGCCGGTTGATGCTGATGGACTCAGCATTTGTATTATAACAAGTACACTTAAATATTAATTTTGAAAAATAACAGAAAGCTAAAATAAGCAAAATGAAGTAGTCTAGAACTTGTGGCTCTTTGGAGCTCCCAAACATTCATGGTTTTACCTAAAAACAAACAAACAAAAAAACAAAACCATGACTGTGTGCATGAGGGGTTCTCAGGAGAGATGGCTCAGTGGTTAAGAGCATGGGCTATCGCCAGGGTCAATTTTCAGTTTCTTTATGGTTGCTTTACTACCCTCTGAAACTCCAGTTTCAGTG